AAGCGGCTGCGGCTTTGCTCCCGGTGCCTCTGGTCTGCTGTGGACCATCTCCAGCAGACCAGGGACACCAGGAGCAAAGGAGGCGGAGGGGCGCTGGGGTATAAGATGAAACCCTATCTTTTAATTAAAAAAATAGGGGGCCGTCTTATACGCCCAGTTGCCCTATACGCCGGAAAATACAGTATTACGTCTTTTTGAAATAGCCTTACTGGTTTCAAATGAACCATTATGTTCTGAAAGGTCAGTAATATAGATTTATAGCATGGTTTATAAAGAATTTGCGATCTACAGTGTCAATATGTAGTTCTGGGTAAGACTTTTAGTCATAAATTTAAAAACGGTTTAAAATAAACCAACATGTCCCAAAAGAATTTATCAATAGGATTAAATAACAGGAAAGCTGTGACCCAATGAAAGAAAATGCCTCCTCTCTGGTTCTGACTGTGCTAGATTTGCATGTGTTTTGAATCTGCAGACATCTTGGTAAGGACTTGCATCCATCCTTACTACTACATAGCTGTAGGTTTTGTGTGTGTGTTTATATGAATAACATTAAATTTTACAAATTAATCTGATGAGACATTTGTGCATTTACAAGTGCATAGTAATGTCCTTCCTTCACCAGCAGCTGGCTGTGAGTCCCTTATTCCACTACTTTTCCATTATGAATCACTGCTAGGACATCAGCATTCTGTATAGTTGTCAAGTGGTGAGCAATAATAATGCAGGTTCGAGCCTTCCTGGCATTGTCCAAGGCTTTCTGGACAATCTGCAGAGAGATGCAATGAAAAACTTGTTATTACTTGGAGATTTTTCCCTTTCATAGGGATCACTATTCCTTTTCACTTGAGTATTCCTCACTGAGTAGAGGAGTCAGGGCTTCCCATGAATGATGGAGGCCTCAAACACAGAGGTTTGATTCTACAACTATTACTTGTGTCATTAATTCCATTGACTTCATTGAGAGTACTCTTGTGAACGGGGACTAGCAGAATGAGGTCCAGAACAATCTCGTTTGGATCAACATAAACCTTGGATTTACCATGAAACACAACTAATTTGCGAAGGCATAATGCAATGTCTGTGGCTGCTTGCCAAATATTTGTATTATATTTGATACTACATGCTGTCTGTTAGTTTCTCTAAATTTGATGTGTAGTTGGAAGCAGCCTCTAGTCCCCATCCCATCCCCTCTCCCATAGCTACTTGTCCAGGGTATTGTCAGTGAGACATGGACAGTACTTAGATCATTTTGACGAAAGCAGACCAGCCAACTATATAGACATGAATACGAGTTGCACTTTCATTGACAGCACCAGCAATGCCAGACACTTCTTGTCCATAAAAATCTAAAATTCAGGAACCTGACATCTGGCTCACAACTGAATGGTGGTTTGCACAGTGGCATTTTATACGTTTACTGAATCACCATCCAATTGAACAATCTATTTGTCCCCATGGAGCCTCTCCCTCTTCTGGAGATGGTTGATGCTGTGAGGAAGCTGGGCCAGCTGAGCAGCAGAGGAAAGCTTAATTACTCTTTCATCTTTGCACATCATCTCCAGCGGGGACAGAGAAGTTGCTGAAGCCTCTTTTCCAAGCCAGCTGCTCCTGCACATCTCCTCTTTCCTTCTTAATGCAAGTGGATCGAAGGAGTGGAAAGCAGATAGAAGCACAACAAAATTTAAACTTCCCCATTGTACCATTCTGTCCCGTCGGTCAGCAGTTCTAGTAGCACAGTGGATCCCTCTCGGCCTATGTAGCAACATCTGTTCACCCAGACAGAGCAGGAAGTGATGCAGAAACAGACTCACTTTGCTGCTAGTGCTGATGGCCAAAGGGAAGAGGAAGGAGCTGGTGACTTGCCTTACAAGGCCTATTCTACTAGATCTCAGTGCACTGTTTGAAGACACCTGTCTCAAACTCAAAGTTGCCAATCATGAATGGGATTTTCCAAAGTGCTCAGCCTAACTGTGAACCCATTAAAAGTCTCTCTGATTTCATAACTGAATAGTAATAGAGATGTAGCCGTAAATTCCACTTTGTCTCCAGTCCCAAGGGCAGCTGATTACCATCACCGTCCAGTTTAGGCAGCAGGAGCTGAGAGTCATTCTGCACCTTGCCAAAGCAGGCCAGAGACAGAGAGCAAGCTATGGGTGGCAGAGTGTCCATGTTTATGCAGGGAACCTTTTGAACCCCACAATTTTGTACAATGCATATTACTAACCTTTTCACTTTCCGTGTCAAGAGCAGACGTGGCTTCATCCAGAAGTCGAACCGCTGGCTTCTCAACTAGAGCATGAGCAATTGCTATTCTTTGTTTCTGACCTCCAGAAAGCTGGGTGCCTTTGTCACCCACATGAGTATTATACTTCTGGAAAAGTTAGTATTCATTGTGAAGGAAAGTTAGAAACAGAAAGTTACATTCTCTGCTATGACAAGTATGCTATCTTAAACATTCCCGCTTTAAAAGAAAAAAAATAATGCAATTGTTTAATAAAAAATAAAATTGTATAAGATTTTATTAAATGTTTGAATCAAAATGGATCTCTATAGCTACACGTATTGATAAAAGCCCTATAGTGAAAATTCATTTTAACTTTAGAAAGAGAGTAACCCCCAAATGGTGCAATTACTGACAGGACTAGTCAAAGACATTTTCACTTGTATATATAGGCTATTTCTAGACTGCCCCCTCTTGCACAAAAAACCCCCCGCAAATGTGGCAAAACGTGGAATTTCGCTGCACCTCATTTGTATAATTAATGAGGCTCTGTTTTTGCACAAGAGACTGGCTCTTGTGCAAAAGCCTCTTTGCAAAAACGGAGCCTCGTTAATTATGCAAATGAGGTGTGGTGATATTCCATGCTTTGCATCATTTGCATTTTTTTTGTGCAAGAGGGGGCAGTCTAGACATAGCCAAAGATTTCAAGAGACATTTATAATTTCATGTCCCTAGGAACCCACACTCAGGATGTAAGCCTTTATTTCTTGTACATCTAAATTTTCTTCTTAGTATATATTTTCAAAAATTAGATGGCAATGAAAAAGAAATAGTGCCAGCATTTTTCATTTCCATTTCAGGACATTTTACATGAAGCCTGATTTCTTTGGGCTTTTCCAAGGCCTTTCTCTACTTTGAGAACTAAGTTCATAACAAAAATGAAGATTAACATGCACTGGAAATGTTTTAATATAACATCTTTCAGATAAGGCTAAAATTAGAGAAAGCTTTGGCCAGAAAAGGGAAAATAATTGGTAGTTTATAAGGAAATTAAAATAAAGGTGTAGAATTGATTGCATCTTTTATAGATGTTATATAACATCATGGTGCTAATGGAAAACAAGAAAACTGGAGCTCAGATATTGTGTTTGAAGGAGCTAATTATGACTGCAAATTTGTTCAGACATACTGCAAGATACATTTTTAAACTTCAGCTTACTATTTTCCTCTTCAGAACTATATACACAATTAAATAAGCTTTATTTAAAACAAAAGCGCATATTGCTTTTTATTCATGGGAGTCACTGAGATCATTTTAGATAAGTCCCACTTAATATTTACACACACAACCTCTGAGAATGGAAAGACATTTTCATTTTCCTCTGGGAGATTTTCTATGAAGGTGTGAATATTTGCTGCTTTAGCTTCCTCTTCAATTCCTCCTGACTGACAACCCTACTATTGTCTCCATACTGGATATTTTCAGCAATGCTGCAATCAAACAAAATAGGCTCCTGTGACACAATACCTAATTTGGACTTTAACCATTGCAAATTCAAAGCCTTAGTATTGAACCCATCTGCAAACTAGAAACAGAAAAGGAGACAAATCATTCCCTGCAGAATGCAATACTCCTTCTCAGGTGCACAATTCAAATGTGAAACATGAATCTGTAAAATCCTCTGACCTGTGTCAGGGCTACTGTAAAAGGAAAGGAGTAGGTGAACCAGCTCTGGTCAAACAATAGATGACCAGAACTTTCATCCAAAATTGAACCGAACTAAAGCTCTCTGAACATTCAAGAAGTTCAGATAACATTTTCCTCACCTTAGTATTATTTTTTGTGATGTCTACACTGCTGGCTTCCAGCAGACCCAGCTATGGAAATGCCAGTGTAGCACACGATGGGCCACTGTACCACATGATGAGATCTAGAAGATTGAAGAACTCTAATAAAAATCCACATCTTTGTACATTTATTCTAACATCCATTGAGTCATCCCTGAAAGCTATTCTTTTTAAACCTCCTATTTTCATCAAATAATGAATTAGACCTCAACCTGTGTCATGTTAATATGACTACAGGTCTTGTGACTAGGGTTATGTTATGGGAAGTATATTTGAATGCCCCCTCCAGTGCGTCAAGTAAGTTAACAATGAAATGCACTCTAATGGTCTACAGCCAGGATGGGGAGTCATAAGCTCCTGAGTTCTACTCCTAGTTCTGCCTTAAGCAAGTCCCAAGTTTTCTCCATAGCACCCACACCTTTATAATGGGGATAACAGCACTGATACACCTCCAGAGGGGCATTGTATGGAAGATTTGATGTCTGTAAAATACTCAGAAGGAAAGCTCAATAAGCTCTAAGGTTACGTCTAGACTGGCATGATTTTCCGCAAATGCTTTTAACAGAAAAAATTTTCTGTTAAAAGCATTTGCAGAAGAGAGCATCTAGATTGGCACGGATGCTTTTCCGCAAAAAGTGCTTTTGCAGAAAAGCATCCGTGCCAATCTAGGCGCAGTTTTGCGCAAGAAAGCCTCGATGGCCATATTCGCCATCGGGGCTTTTTTGCGCAAAACAGTTTTTAGCTGTCTACACCGGCCCTCTTGTGCAAAAACATTTCCGGAAAAGGGCTTTTGCCCGAACGGAAACGTCAAAGCATTTGCACAAGAAGCACTGATTTCAGGCAGTAGAACGTCAGTGCTTTTGTGCAAAATCAAGCGGCCAGTGTAGAGATCTGGAAAAATCTTGCCAGTCTAGATGCAGCCTAAGAGTTATTAATAGCTGCAAAAACCTTTTCTTACCACTTGTCCTGCGATCGGGTCATAAAATCTTTCCAGAAGCTGAATGGATGTGCTTTTGCCACAATCACTACTCCCCACCAAGGCTAGTGTCTGCCCTTTATTAACCTTCAGGCTGAGTCCTTGCAAAACTTGAACTTCAGGTCTTGTAGGGTACACAAAATGGGTGTCCTGGAATTCAATGTTGCCATCAAACTGATTCTGGAAACAGTAGAAAATACAAATGTACTACAGAAGACCTGTCTGTCTTGTACAGAGACATGAAACACAACTCAATATGGTCATCTAAGTGAATTGAATTGGGAATCAATGGCATTTTCAAACTCAGAGCACTTACGTGTATTGTAAATATATTCAGTGTGACACTGGATTGGTACTCTGTTTACAGAAGCTCCATCTTGAGTGTTCTTTTTTTGCATCTCTCTCATATCCACATCATTCCTTTTCAGCCTGGTTTTCAAGGAATATCATTACTTTAGGGGAACATCTACACAACAACATTATTTTGAAATAACTAGTGTTATGTCGGAATAACTTAGTCCGTGTCTACACAGCATGCAGTTATTTTGAAATAATGTCAAAATACTGTCCTGCTAGAGGACTTCTTACTCTGATTCCTGTAACCCTCATTGTATGAGGAGTAAGGGAAGTCGGAGGACGAGTGCTCTATTTTGAAATAAGTGCTGTGTAGACGGTCCCCATTTCAATTTCAATATAAGCCAGACAATTGAGGTAGCTCAATTTGCGTAACTTATTTTGAGTTAAGCCCTGCTGTGTAAGACCTGCTGTGTAGCCCTAGGGGTGTGTCTACACAGCAAGGCTTAACCTTTTAAGTGAATAAACAACCCTAATACTTCTATTATGTCACCAATGCTTATAACCCAGACAGTACCACTGTGTGCGGAAAACACATTTTCTGCCCCCCAGGGAATTCACTCTCTAGATCAGAGGTGGGCAAGATACAGCCTGTGGGCCAAATCTGGCCCACCAACCTGTTTGATCCAGCCCTCAACCCACCCTGCTGCTCCCCTGACCCCAGGCCAATCCAGACCTGGGGACGGGGAAGTGCACAGTCTCCTCCCCCTGCCAGGGGCATGCAGCACCTAAAGAGAACCACCCCTTTCCACCTGAGACACTGTCCCTTCTGGGACAGAGCCGGCCTGTGACCACTTATCAAAATTTGTGAAGTAGCCCCCCTGCAAAAATTATTGCCCACCCCTGCTCTAGATAGTATAATTTAAACACTTAGAACACAGGGTGAACTTAAGTGACCATCCGATCTACAAATAAATTAGGCTAAACACTTTTACTTTGGATTATTCATGGTTTTCAAGGATAGCTATATTTTTTAAGTATTGATTTGAATAAGGAAAGGGTAGATTGGCTCATATATAAGAAGGGAGCTCTGCATAAAAGAGATAGCAAGGAAGTCAATGACATGAAGATCAAGCATAAGTGAAGGAGCTGTTAAGAGGGACTGTGGGAACCTCCTCTGATGCCTGGGATATGGAACAGCCACAGGACCACAATACTAGCACAGTGAATGCAGTGGACTTGACTTTGCTCTGGACTGATGCTTTGCTCTGGACTGGTCTTTTAAGGATCAAAATCTTTGGGTCAGATCTTAGCTTCACTGAAGTCAAAGGCAGTTGCCTCACTGGCATCAGGATCTGACTTAGAGTTGTTGCACTTAAATTAAATTATTGATCTGCAAGAAGATAGTTTCCCTGGGCATTAGTTGTCTGGGCATGTGGAGCTGAAAGCAAAGTAGTCAAGCACATCTGTAACTTCAGGTTGTGCACATGAGTTACTGGCATGCTTATAGCATATGTCTGACAGGCTACATCTACACTGCTTCCCCCTTCCACAAGAGCCTATACAAATAAAGTACTGATTAGCATATTGTCATGCTTCATATGCATAATTAATTAGGAGCCATTTTTGTGCAAGAGGTCTATACATTTTTTCAGGAAGAATGGCTCTTGTGCAAAAATGGCTCCTAATTAATTATGCGAATGAAGCACGGCAATATGCTAATCCACACTTCATTTGCATAGGCTCTGGCAGAAGACGGAAGCAGTGTAGATGAAGCATGAGTCCTTTTATGAATCAAGGCCACTTCCAATTTGAAAACAATTTCAAGTTTTGGAAAGTGTGATTCTGCTTGTAAAAGGGGGACTATAGCTATCACACATTTATCATCTCCCAGAGCTTTCTGTGTGAAGTGTGTTCAATTCACAAATACAAAGATGAATTTCTGTCAAGTCTGGGTTTTGAGAGACAAGCTGGGTTCTTTCTGTCTCACATATAATTACCAGAAACAAAAGGCTCTGCAGGCGAAGTTAATACTTAATACTCATTAATACTTCTGCAACCCCTTTGACTTGAATGAGGTAACACAAATATATTCTTGTAGCCATGTCAGTCCCAGGATATTAGAAAGTCAAGGTGGGTGAGGTAATGTCTTTTATTGGACCCACTTCTGTTGGTGAGAAAGACAAACTTTTGAGTTTAAACAGAACTGAAGAATTATTCCATTCATCTGCCATGGCAAAAGTACCCCACAACTAGGAGGACAACACCATCAGGCAACTTGTGAAGAAGTGGAATTTTCTTTCCCAGAGGACCAGCAATGAACCAGTGTACATCTCGCACAAGCAGGAAGTGCTGATATCCTTTGAATGGGTGAGATGTGCAAGACTGTCATGATCACTCATGCCTTCCACCTTCTTTGTGCCTGGATGACATGGTGAGGAACATCACAAAGACAGCAGGATACCATCAAGGAGTGAATTGCCAGGACCCCTTCCAACCAAAGTGTTGCACCCTACCTTTTGAGAAGACAGGATAATGGGCTAGACAGACCTTTGGTATGAGCATTCTTATGTACCTGAGTGCTACCCAGGAAGATGAATTTGGAAGAAAGGGAGGAGACTTTGCTTTGTTCTGGACTGATGCCTGCAACATGATGTGACAACTGGAGAAGGGAATCAGCAGCCATTGGACATGATGTGAGGAACGCCAAGCACTGGAAGTCCTAGTGCCATTTGCGAAGAACACAGAGTATACCATCATCATGCTGAGAGCCAGAACCAGGCCGGAGAGCACCCTGAAGGATGCCATCTGCTGCCAATATGTGGAAAACTCGAATTGGAAGCCTGACCAGAACAAGGCCTTCAGGGTGATGTGTAAGTGGTAGGCCAGCAACCCCTTACTCCCTGGGAACACATCACTCAATTTGCTGACTGGAGGTTCATCCACCTGGTTCAGCTGAACCGTATCCCACTAAACGGAGCCATTTGTCATGGGAATCAGGAGAAGCGATGTAGGAAGTGTGACTATGCCAATGAAATGCTGCCCCCCCCTATGTTTTGTCCAAGCCCCACTCCAGGGCTTGGCAGTTGTGACACAATATCATCTAAGATTGCCTGGTCAGAGCCACCTCACTGCCGATGGGGAAGGTTGCCATGAACTCTGTCATCACTGGAACAGCCAGCCAACTATGTCCAGACATTACCAATGAGGACTGAAAGAGTATCATGGTGAACATCAGTGCCCTTCAAGAACAGGATCCCAGCTTCCATGACATACGATCTTGAAATCTGGAGAAAGTAGGAGGTTCAAATTCACATACTGATCATCAGAGCTCTGGGTGCATGGGAACCCAATAATGGGCAAGTGTTGAGAGAATGTGGAATCAATCAATACTACATTCAGCTGATGTTGAAATTCAGAGTGGTGAACACATCACCGGACATTGGCAATACCAGAAGGGATCAGCTGAAGTGAAAAGCGTGGTTGGGGACAGAAAGTATCCTGTTAATTTCTCAAGCAAAAAGATATGAAATGGCACTGGATACATATAAAATTAATTTATTGCTGTTAAATTTTAGCCTACCTGTCTGGTCCTCTCTCCTGTGACATTGCAAAAGGAAATGTAACAAGATTAATACAATTAAGGACAATATAGTACCACCAATTTTGTTAGTTTCAAGGACATTTCGGAATGAGCTTACCAATTTTGTACCCTCATCACTATAGTTGTCAATTAAGAGTTTCCGATCTAAAAGCTGAAATATTCGTTGGGCAGAAACTTTAGCTTTGCCAGAATCTGGTGCCAAAGAAACAGCTTCCGCAACACTTACAGCAGCAAACAGAAGTGAATAAAAGTTTTTGAAACCAAACACAAACCATCTCAGGAGTATTACACACCTCAGATTGAACAAAAGTTTACACCTACAACTATTCTTATGGGAGATTAATAGTATGTAATTTCTCTATGCAGAAGCATTTCACAAAACCCAGTGTCTTCAATGATGTGTTAGCAGTAAAAGTTCCTCCATAGTAAATGCACGGAGACAGCTATACTTGCCCACACAACTTTCATGCTGCCTCTCCAAGGAATAATCCTTCTTCCTGAATTGAACTTCTGACCTGATTCTCAACTGTTGGATCACTTGCACTACTGCCATTGTAATTAAACTGATATGCAATTAACACGTGTTGAAATCACTGCCTTTGGTCTGAAGCGTACTTACATAAATACATTTTCAAAGTTGCTATAGCAATTAGCAATGAGCCATGCACCAAATCTGAAGACTGCTGTAGAAAGAAAGTAGTTTGAACTTTGGGCTACTCCATAGGTAACTCCGTATAGGAGGGTTTTTGTTAGAGATTCCCTGATAAAATAAAATAATTGTGTTAAAGGAAACAATTGTTATGAAATACCAAGAACAGAGACTGGCTGGGTGAAGGTCAAACCTTTGAATTAGTGGTGACAAACTATTTATCACACCACGCAAGTAATAAATAATAATAATTAATAAAGCTGCATGCTAGGGGCTCCATGAAATCAGTTCTGGAGACAACTTACGGCAAAGGAGATCCCTTCATCTAATTGTTTGTTAGACAGGATGTTATGATGAAACTACCTTTAACAGTCAAAAGCTTTTAACACTTGAATGCTAGTTTGCAAAAGAAATGCTTATGGATGGCCAAAGCAAAGTAACACAAAGCAAATTGATAATCTAAGTCTCTTATGATCTGTGAATGCTTGAATTTTTGGACAATTAAGATTGTAGTGGTCACCATAGAAAAGTCAATAATTACAATATAGAACTGCAGATATTGCCTGTTCTGAGTAGGCAACTCAAATCCTACTGTATAGTGGTGATTTTTCAATGGTGACCAATGTTATTGTGTGGGATGGTAAAAATGCATGGCTTTGGTTATGTGCAGGCATTGCTGTGACAAATAAACTGGCAGTAATTCTGACAAAATGATTTTTCAACAGAAAATGCAATATCTTCTCATTTGAAATTTCTATCAGGAAATATTTTACTCTAGCTTGGTTTGCTAGATATTTACTCTATAGCCATATGTCCCCCATAAGGCACTATGCCTTTCAATCAGAGGAGAAGCAACATTGTATCATGGGAGATATTGGCTGCGGATCCTGATTGGACTGTAAGAGAGAAACCCCTATGGCAATGTGAGGTTGAACTGGACAGAAACAAAAACTTTTAGGTCAGTTATACAAAATTAAACATTACATTTATTTGGGAATATAAAATATTTTATTTGGAGAGAAAATGCAAAAATTGACTGATTTGCCATTTCTAAATTGATTTTTTTTCTAAAAACTTTTCTTTCTGTGAAAAAATTTGAAATATTTTCACTTTTTTTTCCATTTCAGAGCAAACATTGGCATTTCCTATTGGATAGGAAATAAGATTTTCACACATCTATAGTGCTAATGTATTTTTCAAATGTTTTCCAAAATAAAGGTCTCTATAAATCATAATACTGTGCTACAATGATCCACCAGCACTAGAGACAAATGCTAAAGTTGAGAATCCCATTTCTCCAATGAGGCAGGTTTTTTTTTTCCCCAATACTGATTATTTATAGAATATTGAATATTAAAACTATCATTGGCAGTGGACTGACCTATCATTTTCATTCTTTGTTTTTACTTAGAACATATTTAAGTAGAGAAACACAACAGATGACAGATCATTGTATTTAAATAAAATGGATACTAGGAAAATGACTGACATATTTAGATATTAGAAATTAGCCACAACTGTGATTAGCTGAATATAACTGAAAAGGCCAAAGGGGAAAATAAATGCACTTTATTTCAAGGCCTGTAAAACTTTCTCATTAGCTTTGCCATCCACCCAGGATGTTTCTGGTGTCTCCAGGAATTAAAGATTGATTTTACATTAAAGATTATGTCATGTGATGAAACCTCCAGGAATATGTCCAACCAAAATTGGCAACTCTATACTCGTAGTAAAAGTAGTAATACTGTACATGATGATTTGGTGTAGTATAAAGTCTTTTGCCACTTGATGTACATAACTCCCTCAGCTTCAGTACTCGTGAAGTAAGTAAACATCCCTTATTTTTCTTAATAAAACTTTATACTAGGCCATTACATTATGTCTCTCTGTCACAAATATTACATTACACGCATACACAGCACATGAGAAGGTGTTTAAAGAAATTAAGTAAATACATCTTAACCTATTTGAAAGGTTGCCAATATCCTCCCAAACTTTTTGTGTATTTACTCAATTCAGTTTGCAATTAGTATAATGTGAATAAACCTTGAGATTTTTTAAATTAAGAAAATATGTACATATTGCTTTTAAAAATGGAATTGTTTGAGACCAAATCCTACCTGTATGAACCAATCAAACTTGCATTATAACTCTTATAAAATGCATCTTCACTAATTAATGAAGCCACAGTTCTTATGTTTCCAACTGCTTCTGCCACAATCTAAATAGGGTGACAAGACAGATATGAAGTATTCTCTTATGTTTGAGTCCTCTTCTACCACTAGGTAGCTAGCCCATCTATAGCACTTTTTATCTTTAGCTCTCCAAGACCTTTTTCTTTAAAAAAAAAAAAGATTAAGTATCACTCTCAAGGAAACTGAGGCACAACAATTAAATGATTTGCACAAGGTCACACATTGATCTTTCTACTAAGCCACATGATTGCTATAAGATTCCTAAGTGTTACTATTTGCGTCAGGCTTCCCCAGAAATGTACTAAGCCCACCCAGTCTGCCCCTCCTCCAAACCAGGCCCTTCTCTCATGCATGCTGGCAGGTGCTCCCACAGTGGCGATACGTATCTTATCTTTTCATTTTCTGGATTTTTAGATGTTTTCATTTGTATTATCTTTAGTCTCCCCCTCCAACTCTGGATTGATGGGTGGCAAGGTGAGAGTCTTGAACACCCCAGGGAGACCAGGGTCTCTAGATCCCAAGTTACAGGGAGGGACAGAGCTCCCAAGATCCAAAGAAGGAAGGAAGGAAGGATTGAGAGTAAAATTGTTCAAGGAATTTTAAGCAATAGGAAGAGTCATTCTTTGAATAGAGAGGACTTCTCAACCTTGACTGGAGTAGAGCTAATGTCCCACTATAATAGAATGTGTCTTTTTATCACAGTTTTATTTGATATGTTTTCACAGTAATTTCTGTAGAAAATCATCACTGACAATGTTATCCTTTCAACAAAATAACATTATACCCATTTACTTAATACTGGAGAACTTACCCTTCCAGCCTTTTCCAAAGTATTTTGATTTTTTGATGTGTGACCAGCCACAGACGTCTTTCTAGTAGCATTTTCAGCAACAATAAAAGGAGTGCAGGCCAGGATAAGCAAAGCTAATCTCCAGTCATATACAAAATCAGTAATGGCACCAGTCAGAAGGCTACAGATAGTTTTGGTCAGGAAGCCAAGTCGGTTTCCCGTGGCCTATTAAAAGCAACAAAAGAATCCAGAGTTAGAGTTTCCTCTTAACACACAAAATACAGACCAATGTTTTCATAAATTTGTTCACTCAGTAGCTAATATTCAGAAGGATAACAATAATACATTTTGTGCATTTCAAATGGCCAATTATATGTGCAAAACCCCACAAAGATAATTACATACGCAAACACCTATATCTGTGGGTAAGGTTCAGGAAGACAAATATCAGGGTCCTTCTATTCCACAACAAGGTACAGAAATCATGAAGAGAACAGTTTCAACGGTGGCTTCTAATTTTGGAAATCTCAGTTATTGACTGCCCAGTTTAAGGCACCCAAGGGCTGATTTTCAGAGGTGCTGTATGTCAGCTGAAGATAATGGCAGCTGTAGGTTCCTTTAATTAGGCACTTTGTTTTCAGCAGTGCCTCATTTTAGCATTAGGAAATGAATGTTCACACCAGAGAGCTCTTCTCTCCCTGAGAAGCTGCACATCCGTGACATCAAGAAACATAAAAGTGTGGACAGGCACACTGGATCTATGTGAACTGAGAATACCCATGACTATAGCTGAGCAAATAGTGAGTTTTCCAGACTTGAGGCCAAACAAAAAATATGATTTGATTAGAATTAATTTTTTTTCAAATTTTGTTGAATAAAAATATCAATTTTGGATTGACCAAAACATGCATTTTAATAAAAAGGTTTTTTTCACGTTTGTTTTCTATTGATTTGGTCATTTTGTGGTATTTTTCCCCTTTCATTTAAATTTGGTCAAATTTGAAAATGAAACGCTATTTTAAAAAAAAAGTAGAAATGGCAGATTTTTAAATAGTCAAAATGAAACATTTAGACTTAAAATCTCTCTAAGTCAAATTTGACCTGAATTTGTTAATAGATTTGAGGCTCCTAGATATACACTTTTCAGCAAAAATACCATTCACTGAAAACCAGCCTGCAACAGGAAGAGGCAAAGAGGACAGTTGTCCCAGAGTCTGGCGATTTAAAAGGTCCCAGTGCTCCTGGCTGCCACCACTGCCACAACCACTGAAGCAGCAGCAGCTAGAGCCCAGAACCTTTAAAGAGCAACTGGAGCACCATATTGCATGATCTGGGTGACTTAGGGCTGGCTGGGGGTTGGGGAGACCATGCACTTTGGGTAGCTCTGAGGGCTGGTTACCCTCAGCCCCGCCCCTTCTGCCTGGGACTCTGCTCATTCCAAGAGTGCAGAGTTAGCCACCCCCAACTTGCCCAGGGCCCACAAAATCTATCAGCCCTGCTGCTGAAAATATATTGTCCAGTTCTACTCATGCCTGCAGATGAAGTGGAAAGTCTGATGGAAACAGTCCTTCTTTCAAATATTGCATTGTGGACAAGCCAAAAAAGTCCTTGGGTAGGAAGCATGATTCTTTCCAGTTTAGCCAGAAGCTTTCTTGCCCTCAAGAGTTGAGTGTTCAATACAATTATAAAATCAAACCAATTCCAAGATTAATTATGGACATCTACTCTAGAGGCTTACATATAAAGGTCACTTGGGGGTATGTCTACACTGTGGGATAAGATCAAATTAAAGATACACTTTTCAGTGACATTAATTGCTCTGCTGAAGTCGAAGTACCTTAACTCGACTTTTGGTGCTGTCATTGCTGCAGGAAGTCGAAGTGAGAACCCTGTCCCTTCACCTTTCCTTACTCCTTCAGCTTCAATTGTTCTCTGTAGTGAAAACATACCCTTTGAAACTTCAGCTAGCACAGAATATGGCTGCCCACTTACTTAGCAGTAGCTGTGTTTGGTCCCAGAAGATCAGTGATAAGGTGGGCAAGGTAATATCTTTTATTGGACCAGCATCAGTTGGTGAAGAAGACCTGAAGAACTCTGTGTAAGCTTGAAAGGCTGTCTCCCTCCCCAACAGAAGCTGGCCCAAATCAAGATATTACTGGTATGTCGTGGGGAGTTTCACAGCATAGGAAGAAATCAGTGGAAAGGCAGAGAGCTGGAGTAGGTGCAAGTGTCCATTTTATTGCACAGAACTCACTAGAACAAGCCCAGACTAGCAGGGCTGACCCCAGTGACCTACTCAGTTTCCATAACAACAAGATCTATATCTACAACCCAATATACAACAATTACCTTACCCACCTTGTCTCTCACTGAGGTTTTTTTTTCCTTTCTGAATCTCTCCTGTCCCTCAACAAGCTATAGAAAGTGCACAACCGACCTGTGTCACAACAACTAATTTTCTGCACAGAAAATCCAGAGCTGGCATTGTGGGATAACAAATATAGCAATTGCCCGAGGCCCTGTGTTGCAGGGGCCCCACAAAGCTAAACTGCTCAGGCTCTAGCTTCAGCCTCAGATGGTGGAACATAGAGCCTTGGCCTTCAGCCCAATGAGATAGGGCTTTGACCCTCTGGCCTTGGCCTCAGCAAGTCAAATGCTGGTGCTGCTTGCCCCACCCCCACCCTGAAATGCCCATAGTCATTTGAGAACCATGGCTCCAGAGAGTGCAATGTTCTGATGTTGATTTTGATCTAGTAAGCTTTTTTATAGTTTGGATCTTAGGCAGCACTTTCTTCCTGTCAGCTGGGATGATGGACTTTATATCATTAAATTAAATGATAGATTTAAAAGATTTGACTAACTCTGCTCAGTCAAATATTTGATTCATTTTTTTTTCCGTTCTGTGCTGGGCTGTCAAAAGGAGAGGAAAGGGTGAATGAAATCTAGTGAGTCTGAGGATCTACTAAGTCTAGTGAATCCAGGAGTTGAGGAAGGATTTTTTTAAGAAAAGTGAAATAAAAATGTAATTAAATTTTAAACTGTTTTCTAAATCAGGAACTTATTACTGTTTGCTCATGAGTGAATGTATTTTAGATGCTCCAGAATTGTTTTGATGGACTCATATGGAGGGGAGGAAAGGGAAGATAGAGTTCTGCATAATTTGCCATACAGTAATTCCTCATTTAACACGTGCCCGCTTAACATGTTTTCGCAATGGCATGATTTTTGGGGGGGAACATTTTTTGAATTACACGACCATCCCCAGAATAACACAATTTCCCCAGCCAGCCTGTTGTCGGCGGCTGCGTGGGGCTTTCCCCTCCTCCCTGCAAAGCAGTGGAGGGTTCGCTGCTCACTGCACTCTTCCCTGCTGACTCCCCCTTGCCGGACGCCTGGCTACCACTGGCAGGCTGGCAGCTGGCTTTCCCCAGCCGGCCCGTTGCTGGTGGCTGGGCAGGGCTTCCCTCACCTCCCTGCAAAGCGGCGGAGGGTTTTCCACTCACAGCGCTGTTCCCCGGTGACCGCCCCCCCCCCTCGCAGGACGCAGTGCAGGTCCCGGCATACCCGTCACAGGGGCACACTCTCAACCCAATCCCCCTCCCCTCTCCTCTCCTTCCCTTCCCCAGAGCCAAACACCTCCCCTCCCTGCTGTAACCAGTCCCCTTTCTCCCCCAACCTTATGTCCCGGTCCCAACAGACACCACCGCTTGAAATGCAACCCCCACCTTTTCCATTATTTTCAATGAGAAAATTGACCCCGCACAACATGTTTTCACTTAATACGATCATTTTCTGAAACATATCTATAGTGTTAAATGAGGAATTACTGTACTTGTCTACCAGATTTTCAGTGGCTTCTCTGCTACAACACTCCCCACAGTTCTTCAAGCGTCTACCTCTGTGTTAATGACAATTCACTTCACCCCACAAAGTCCTCAAAAACAGGGTTTCTGTGCCTGAAATGCAGTGGACAAAGCTAAGAAAACAAAGTGAAGAAATCTACCAATGTCAACATGAGGCCAGGGCTGGGCTGCAATTTAGCTCTCAAGAACGACAACTCCTCCAAGCAACCAAAACAGGGCTTTAGGAACACTTGATACACTGAAGACTCTGCTCCATTGTGAGGTTTAAGTGGGGCAGAGATGCTTACACTGGTCCTTGGGTGAGTTTCATCTCTCATGGCTCACATTTAAAGCTACCAAGTTGTTTTCTTAGCAGCTTACAGCAAGGAAATGGAAGGCATATGAATATCTGCCAGAAAGTAGGACCAGTGAAACTGTTTCAAGACATTGATAGTGTGCTAATTAAATGTCAGCCACTCTAAGTAGATTTAACAACTTGTTTTACCAATAACCTCATCATCCCTTACCAACACTGTAATTAATATTTGTAAGAAAAATGTAAAAAACAAACAAACATACCCCTTTGACTTGTGCAGCATCTGTAGCTAGTCAAACCCCTACAGCATTTTCATGTTTGTCATACCACGCAATCTCCTGCAAGTGAATAGACGAGTCAGATATTTTTGATTTTGCAAATTAAATGTTCTTATAACGCAGACTCATCAGGGTCATTAGCCCAATGTATGGACATTTAAAGCTTGACTAGCATGTGAGGGGAGAAAGGAGAGAGAGCATCAACCTAAGCACTGAGATACACGGTTTTGTGATGAACAACATTTGTCGAAAAATAATTTATTCTGATCATCAGAACATGAAACTGTTAATAATCCAGGTCCTACTACCTGCAAGGATTTTAGAATTGAGAGCCAAGTATTTATCATGCCCCATTATAAGAGTGCCTTTCACTCCCATACCAACCTCTGATAGGAGGGGAGCACTGTGCCTACCAGTTGTATATAACACTGACTTCTACAGAGCTATTCATGATCTACCTGAGTCCACGTGGAAGGAGAATCAGCTCATTTTCTTTAGGGTAATGGAAAAGAAGGAGATGGTAGTTATTTATAATTTTCCCTCTCATCCTCTTAGTATGCTGTCAGGCATATTCAGAACCCTGTTATCCCAAGCACCACCAATGGGTGCGCATGGTGTCAAACTATTCATTCACAGAGAATCCTCTGCCAGGAACAAATAATGGGGTGTCTTTTCCCAGAGATCCATCAGTAGAGAGTATCCAAAGGCAGTCATGTTGCAATAACACTGTTATTGTAAATCAGTCCTGATCCAGCGGGTCATTTTGACCCTAGAGAAACCTCTTTAGTGAGCAAAGATAATATTTTGCCCATACCTATTAAGGTATGGTCTATTTGCTAATCAATATTCCCTTTGATCTTTTCCACGTGTGGATTTTTTCCATTCATGTGTGTAATGAATTTTGTGTGTGTGCAATATATGTGTGAATGGGCATCACCAGTAGGAGCAAAAAACCTAGCTGTGGGTGCACTACTAAGCACAACATATGAATCTCCCCTGAGTGGCCGCATAAGTGCACGCTTTACAGGGAATACTGGTCAGAACTTTATGTATCTAAACATTTATATCATGACCATCAGAGCCAGATAGAAATTAAACTTCTTTTTTGTTAATTTTTGCAATATACCAATCACTAAGACACATACATGTTTCATATACTCATCCGTGTGGTCTTGATCAAAAGAAACAGCATGAAAATTAGACAACCTGAAGACAGCTCTCAAAGCAACACTGAAATTTGCACATGCTTTCATTTTATTGTGTTTTATTATGTTTTCTCGGAGACTTGCAGTGTGTAAATTTTTAAAATTTCACTAAAAGGATGGGGCTCTCTGGAAACTACACTGGAGGAATGCTCTATACAGGACATTTGGAACCTGCCATTTTCATGGTGTTATATAAACAACAGCTCACAAAAGCCACCTGGCTCGCAGACATTCCAAATGAAACCCCGAAAAGGGAGAATAAGAAATCAAATAGTTTCACTGTATGTGCTGGACTGTATGTATGTTTAGAACATGTAATGTATGTTTAGAGCATGTAATGTAAATACCAATGCAGTGAAACTGGGCTGTACACAAATACGTTCCCTCTACGAGAGAGAATGGTCACCAGCACCTTTCAAGCATTGCTTCCTGGGCTGCTTTGCAACTATCTAGAAGTGTAAAGCTTTGCATTCCATACCAACCACTTGAGTCATTCCGTGGCTTGGCTCTGGAACACTTTATAAGAAGCAGACTGAATACTGCATTGCATTATGTCCCCAAAATGGGCCCATGATGAAATTTGAAAATCTTGATCATAATGTACGTGACCAGATATTCAGCTTTGAGTGTGTATGTGGTGAAGTTTACCTGGATTACGTATGTCACTAAGTTGATCACTGCCAGAACAAGAAACATTAGAGAAAGCAATGTACAGGCAGTCCCCGACTTACGCGGATCCGACTTATGTCAGATCCGCAGTTATGAACGGGGCTCGCCCCGGAGGACACGGACTGCGGGACCTCGCGTTCCTGCCGCCCGTGTACTCTGGGGCTTTCTCCGCGTCTCCCTGGTCTGCAGACCAGGAAGACGCGGAGCAAAGCCGCGGAGGGGCTCGGGCAGCGGGGCCGCACCGGCGCGACCG